AGTATGGTAGGCAGAAATGAGATAATATGTACATTGCATGTATCAGTATGGTAGGCAGAAATGAGATAATATGTACATTGCATGTATCAGTATGGTAGGCAGAAATGAGATAATATGTTCATTGCATGTATCAGTATGGTAGGCAGAAATGAGATAATATGTACATTGCATGTATCAGTATGGTAGGCAGAAATGAGAATTTCTTATCTCATATCATGAGTTATGGGTTAAATACTGGTAGGTTCAAAATGTACCCTCAGTCTCCTTCCTAGTAAGACAAGCAAAAGCTCTAGTGCGTTCTGGTTATAACAGACAGAGACTGTTTGACCCATGGCAAAGGCACAAGGTTTTACTAGTACAGTTCTTGAAACAAAACTGTGATACACTTGAAGCAAATCTAGGACGGTCTGGACTAATATCTTTATTACTTTAGGGAATAATCCAGTGAAATATATTGTACAAATGACTGAACAAATAAACTTTTTACTGACATGGTGTCCATCACTGTCATGAAACAGAGCAGGAACTTTGTGTTGATTTCTTCATACTTGACAAGCCTAGTAACATATGACACAGAAAATACAGTATTAGTCACACTCACTCAGACAATGAGGTTCACTTGCGACAGTTCATTTTACCAAGCAACAAAAGCAACACCAATCTCTACATCTTCATTCTGAACATAAAGGGTAACGCTTATCTAGTCCACAGATAACTACTGTTAATCTACGTAGGCCAGACTTGAAAATCTAATTAAGTCTTATTAGAGAATCCTAAATTACCATGTACATCGATAGTTCAATAACTAGTGAGAAAAGCTATCATCAGAAATCATAACACAAGAAAGAATGAAAATAAACAAAAAATCTTATAGCAGAGGTTCTTCAAGGATTCACCTCAAGTTCACTTTTCTTAGCCATATAAGAGAGCCTACAACTTTATGGTATCAAACTTACAACTTGTCACTTTGATCGAATGTGGAATAAACAGCAGAGAGGACAACTGCAACTAGATTTGGAAGGACACGTGGATGTGGACACGTGGCACTTGGACTGTGAACACTGGTGACCAATTCATTTGACAAATTAGGATCATCATGATACAGAGCAATTTTGGTGAAGTAAAGAAACCTTAACTAAAGACATCACAATAGCCAATAGGGGCAGGGGAGAAAATGCGAAAAGAAACTAAAGCAAGCTTTTGAGAAAAATCTGAGGTGTAAGAAAGATCACAGTGACGAAGTTCCAAAAAGTGACAAAGTTTCTTATTGCCTCGCATTTGAATGATTGATTGATTAGGTAGTACAAATCTCCAAGTTTCCATCCTAAAGCTGAGCAAAGCAAAACCAATGTAATCATGCATTTCCTTTGACACTCAATATAAGATATCAGAGCTCTAATTCCCCTATTATAGTCACTTGGTTTGAGCTAAATCTCCAGGGAATTGAAAAGGAATCTTTCTAAGAAATTCTCTATGTATTGATCTAGAGATCCTAATGTACCGTGTTTCTGGGAGACACGGAATTTTCCTTACAACAAAGTGGAGAAACAGTGCCTCACCTCTCTACAAACTCTCTGACAACATCTGCAAAATCTTTGCAAAACAATGTATAAATATAATCTTGTACAAACATTCTGAGATGTGGATATTTTCCAAAATCCTGAAAAGGAATGAAACATCATGATCATTAAACAGCACAGACTGATTATCACTCACATTCAAATAATCATTATTCAAAAACTGAACAACAATTGGATTACAATTTTATCCCATTTTCTGAGAATGAATGTTATTAGTTAATATTAGTTATTAGTATAATTTCAGAGCTGAGCAAAGAGTTTCTAGCAATCTGATTGGTCGAGTGGTTCCTTATATGACGCTGTCTATATAAAATGTTAAAATAAAATGTTCATAAATGTTACTTAAATTTTATGATTTTAGGAATTTCTCTGTTGTTCAGCTCTGAAATTATACTAAAACAATTATTTGCCTCAGGTTCGGTGAATATTGTCGAATAATCCCCTCGACTTTGTCTCGGGGATTATTCGACGATATTCACCTCGCCTTTGGCGAATAATTGTTAAATATTAACTTCTTACTAAGCAAGCACAAGGGGCATACTGGGGACTACTGGTCAGCCCATACAAAAACAAACAAGGACCAATATTCCCCAGTATGGCCGAGCAAGCAAGGTTAGTAAGTAATTTATTAAATGGCACTCAGATCAAACTCATTTCCTTCAAATTTGCTGGCTTTTACAAACAAAAAACTCACAACTTATGCTGTTTCCCTAGAAATGGTCTGTATTGTAAATTACCAACCAGGCAAGAACCAATCAGAATGCTAGGATTTCCCTTAGGACTACCCTGCCATATAGGGTAAATGTGCCATATAGGGTAAACGTGCCATATAGGGTAAACGTGCCTTAATTATTATAATAAATGCCCTAGTGTTTAGTAAATTATTTTATTGCTTTTCTGTTTGGAGCAACACTACTCAATCTAATTTGGACAAGCTCCAAGCAGTACAAAATATCGCTGGTCACATTTTGTCATCAGACAACAACTTTACTTTCGTTTTGCCATTGTGGTTTTTAAGTGCATGACGAGATGCGCTCCTGAGTATTTGACATCTAAGCTCGTTAGAAGATCCGCCATATTGACAAGGAATACAAGAAATTCTCAACTCTTGGACATTCCAGTCTTCTGCACAGCTAGCGGCCAAAGGACCTTTCAATATAGAGCAACCGCTTTGTGGAACGAGCTGCCACCTGCACTCATACTTAGTCCATTTGTGATGGCTTTCAAGCACTTGCTCAGGCAAAAGCTCCTTAATGACTTCTTTAGTTAGTTTTTATCTTTTATCCTACTATAGTTGTTATAATTAAATTACATTATTGATGCATTATTTTATTTATTTATTTATGAAATTTTAGAATTGTAATTTTGAACTTCTATTTTGTTTTTGATTTAGTATTTATTGTAAGGTGCAGTTGAATATTTTTATAGAAACTGCGCAGTATAAATTTAAATTTAATAATAATAATAATAATAATAATAATAATCCTTTTATGTACTTAGATCTTATTTGTGTAATGTAGATTTGACTTTGAAAAGCCCCTTGGGGACGAGCCAATAAAGTATGTATGTATGTATGTATGTATGTATGTATGTATGTATGTATGTATGTATGTATGTATGTATGTAAGTGTATAGTAAAGAACCATTATATTTGGACTTTTTCAAATCCAGTGAACAAGCTGAGATGTCATGGTTTTGTACACAACACCTGATTAGTTGGGTTAAGAAAGACTGAAATGCACTGTTCATTGTCTACACACTGATTGGGTGTTCTTTTCTGTGCAAGTCCAGTTTAGGAAAATACAGTGTAATTCTCACCATGTTATGTTTAAGAATTCTGTGAACAGCTGGGAGGAAGACATCTAATACTTCATTATTATAAAGTTGGCCCTTGCAATGCTGCAAAAGGGAAAACAACAATTTCAGTAAAAGTTCAGGGAAAAGACTGGTTTAACATTGTAAATATTCTAATGCCTACATGGACTGTGAACGTAAGTTTGGACATAACCTTATACAAAGTTTTCCAAATTTTTTTTTACACCTAGTTGATGGTCTGTTCTTTAACTCTCATGCTGACGGATTCTATGGTTGAGATCTTCTAATAATCAATCACAACTTGTTTATGTTGGAATCAAATCCTGTATGAAATGTTACACAAAACTCCCACATACAGTGTTTGTAAACATACTATTGTCACATCTTTACCTTACTAAAAAAAGCACAAACTTCCACAAACAGTGTTTGTAAACATACTATTGTCTCATCTTTACCTTACTAAAGAAAGGACACACTTCCACATACAGTGTTTGTAAATATACTATTGTCACATCTTTACCTTACTAAAGAAAGCACAAACTTCAGGGGAAGGCTGAACATATTCCAGAACAGGTGCAAGTGCCTTCAGATTAATGAGAAAGAGACATCACTCAAAAATGGACATTAAGCAATACCTGTACAATTTAATTTTGTGAGTACCATAGCAAAACACAATAGAAGCTTACTGTAAAAGTTGACCACATGTCAGTCGACTGTTGGCCGATGCATTGGTGCAATCGGATGAATTCTTTACCTTTACTGTAATTATTTTGTTATGCAACTTTTAGTAGCCAACCACTGATGGCCTTCACTATAACCTTTTTTTGAAACTACAAGTTGTACAAATGCACCTTGGTAGAGAGATACATCATTAGTATCTACCCAGCTGAGATACATCTATAGTGGTTCAAAAGCTAAGTATTCACTTGCTAAGGTAGTGGTCCTTTCACCTTCAAGAACTTCTGCAGAACCTTAATGGTCCTGCTATTCAAACAAAGGTTAGCTGTTGTCTAACAAAACTGCATTCTAAACTTTATTGAATTTAGTTGACTCTTTTATCTAAACATTTTTATGAAGAGTGTCAATAGAACCTAACCAATCAACCCTCTTGTAGAGAATATGCAAGGCCCATTGCTTGTGTAAAACTGCAGTTTGGGTCAGACCTTGTGTAAATAATCAGCCCTACAAGTTCAATCATCAAAATAAAATTATGGTCTAATGCTGTTTACTCACCACTATTAAGTTTTCTTGTTCCTCATCAGAAAATGAGATGAAATGCTGCAGGAAAAAGACATGAGCTTAAGAATTATAATTTTCACATGCAGGAGATGGTGAGTGAGTGGTAGCTGTACGTCAGATGCTTACACTTTGATCTACAGGTCCTTGTAGCAGTCAAGACAAGCAAACCCCTCTTACACTTTATTCATATTACATGTTTTTCTTATATACATTTCATCACATTTAATAAAAAAAGTGGAATCTTACATGTGCAAGGATATCTGAAACCATCTCCAAAGGAACAGTAAATATAACGTCATCTTGTATTGGTGTGGTTAGTGAGAAAAGTACAAGTTCCTACAATGAAATATAAGACAAACCTTTTCATAATTGTGTAAGAAGATCTGAAAAACAATTATTCAAAACTTAACTAGAGTGACACACTTTAAGATTGACTGATTAGTCAACTGAGCTCTCCACAAATGAAAAACACAGCACAGTAGATCAATGAATTGAAAATATTTGACCCTTCCTCTAGACATCTCCCCTTCCAGCCATTCAAAAGTAATTTGAGAGTTGCCACAGACACTGTATCATTCGATAAAGAAACCGCAGCAGTTTGACAGATATTCTAAAATACTCTCGTCATTTATCACACTGTTGTGGAAGCACAGTGGCTGGTTGGTTAGAGCACTAGTGTTGTAACCTGTTAATAATCCACCCTGCTTCTCAAAGGATTTGTTTTCAGTTGTCCCTAGTTCAACTCCTTTGTTGCACTTTTTTTTTAGCCTTCTGCCAATTGGGTTTTTTTAACACTGTTAATTTCTTGGGCCTAGATACGATGAAAATAACTTTGTGAAATTCAGGCCTACCCTTATAGGATAAGAGGTACTTATATTATTCGTAATGATTTTTCTTACTTGATCAGTTACCAATATTACTATCTCATCACACAAGTGGATGTAATGAACAATAAAATTAATTGTTTCCTACCCCAAATGGTATATCACATACCGTGAGCTCCTTTGTTAATGCTTCAGGATCGCTGGATTTTGATATAAGTCTTTTATATCTTAACAGGTTAACCTACAGAGAACAGCCTGCTTTAGTGAAAAGGTTAAACTATTGCATACATCTGTATCTGTGGCACGAAACTAATACAAAAATGTGTACTCTTTCAAGACAGATACAAAGGTAAAAGGAAATAAGGACCTCAGTAGAAACTTTAAAATTGTTATCAGCAGATGCATCACATACACATAGTTGACTAGGAGATACCCAGTAAAATCTTACTCCACAAACAAAGCAGAGACAAAGCAAGAGTGGCCTTACTAAATCCAATTTCAAAGACACGTATAACTTCATTAAATTCTATAATTATGTACAATTTATTTTATTAGTAATATTTAGATATTCTTAGCTAACTTAATTTATGGCTGATTTAATCCATATCATTTTATCAATGAGTACAAGTTGGTGGGTTTCTACAGGTAGAATTTGAGAGAATTGCACCCCCCAGGAACTGAATGTTGGCAATCTAAGCATGTTTACACAACTTCGAAATTTCTTGACTAAGGCATATAAGAATAATTTCCTCACCTTCCATTTCAATGAATGAAGCCATTGATCTCTCAGATATGCATTGGGTGCCTAAAAAGCAAATAGGAATTTAAATAATCTCTCTCTTTCTGGCAAATCTAAGTTTTAATGTTGCAAATCACATAGCTAGCAGAGCTGCATTGAACTAAGGAAAGCCTAGATTTTTCTTCAAGGTAGAGGATCAATAATTAATTTCAACCAATCAGTGTTGGCCAAATTTGAGTTTCATGATCAGTAAAGACTTGGATAATGGGTCTTAGTTACTTTGACATGTATCAGTTATCGATAAACAAAATCAAGAACAAAACAAAGTGTCATTTTCAGTTCAACTTTTTTATAGTGACAAAATCAACAGTGTCATTACCAGACCCCTGATGTACTTTGAAGCTACTTTGTAATAGATCTTATGCAAGAATAATGTCATATACTGAAAACTCACCCCCAGCCTCATTTGCAATCACATTTTCATGAATTCTTTGCCATTTTCTTTCTGTTTTCGTGTGAGTATTCCATTTATATCACTTTCTTGAGAATACTTTCCTTGAAAGTCAGGCTTGGGGTTGAAATTTAGCAATCCGACGCAAATAAACATAAGGCCTATTTAAATCCAAACTTAATCAACTTATTTTCATTCAAGGTATTTTGACTTTACCTTAAGTAATACAGAACCATCTGGAATTGTGACCCTAATGCAGAAATGTTGGCCAGTGTCCCATCTGTTCACAGTATATGCATCCAGTATTTCTTGATAAGACAGGGGACATTCCATGAAACCTGCACACTGAAATGCACAAAGAAAAAACATATTCAACAATGCAGACCCTTAATGCTCCAATAATCCATGCAGCACTTACTTCAAATAATTTATAGGAAAAGGAAGTAGCCCTTCCATAGTTTAATCCAGATTTTAGCCAAATATGACTTTTTCCCTATCTATTAGTTAAATAAAATTTTCATACCAAATACTCAGTTTATCTCAATGCTGAATTACTTTTTCATGTATTCATTTTCTTCATAAAATAAAAAAATTAAAATCTGACTGATTTGAAGAATTTTTTTAAGCAGGAAAAGAGCAAACATCAACCTAAACATTTATGAGCATTATATAGTAAGTTACTAAATACCGCTTGGGCAGTCAGTGTTAATGATTAAAACTTTAAAATGTTGGATCTGACCCTAAAAATGCTAAAAATGTATAAAAAATATATAGTATAGCATACATTATATATTATTAAGCGAATGTTCTGTAATAATAAAAAAGGTTGGAAAAGAAAAAATTATAGGTGCAATTTAAACAAAAATTTCTTCTATGTAAAATAGTCTCAGTGCACAAAGAAATTATTGAACATATTATTATTATTATTTGTCCCTTTGCATTTTCTAAGGTCCTGGACAAACATCAATTAGATAAACTGCTGAACAGTTATAAACCATATATTCTGCACAGCTGTGCAACAATTTCTATCTGCTGGATAAATACTCAAAGGACAGCTTTTTCATCCATCAGATGGCTTATCACTTAAACAAATACATCTGTTCTTTGAACAAATGGTGCCAGGAAATAAGGCTCAGCTACAGTTGACATACTATTTATCCCACACTTTTAGGAATCAAGCTAAGAGTTGTAATCAAAACTTCTCTTACCTAGTTTGTTAATGCTTTTGCTATATCAAAGGGTATGTACAGTGAAGTCTACAACACAAAACACCTGCTTTTGTTATGTTTTTGAGCCCTATAAGAAAAAGCCCTCAACAAAAGTCAATAATTCTTACTGGCTAATACTAAGTGTACTGTATTTACTGTATAGCCTGCACCCGCATATGGGCTGCACTATGAACTACTAACCCAATCTCAGGGTAAAAAAGTTTTTCCATTAACAAAGCACAACCAAACCAAAAAGTTGAGACAGCTCTTTCTTTTTTAATTTCACATTTGACAACAAAACAACTCCTCTAAGAAAGAAAACCTTCTTCTTGAGTAAGTCAAAACATTCACAGAAAATCACAAACATTTACAAAGGATCACTGTTCCACTAACTAAAAACTAGACTCCCTCAAAGTCACTTTCACTGTTACTGTTTCCAAAAATACCTTGATATTCGCTTTCTTCAATCTCTGTGGTCTTGTTGATTCTTTCAGTTTCATGATTTCTTGGAAAATTAGCTTAACTTGCCTGATTTCATTCTTTGACAACATGCAACATGCAGCTTACCATGGTTATATACTGGGCTAGTTGTAATGAAAGAAATGAACTCCCTTCTCTATGCAAAGAGAATAGAGCAAATGTTATCAAGGAAACTGCTCGCACTGTTTGTGATTCAAGGATTCAGCTGTTGCACAGGCCAAAAGTAACTACAAAATGGGTGGAACTACTTGCAGCTATGAAAAGGAAAGTGAAATACCAGGATATCATGTGTATGGCAACACCTGGAAACCCACAATCAGTGATATCTTGTCAACTGATCAGGAACTGTCTAATGAAGATGACAAGTTTTCTGTTGGCATTTCCTGAATAAAACTGTGTTAGGAATTTTGTTGATTACTGTGTTGAGAAACTTTGCATATTAATGAGCTCTGAACTCTTGTACCCACATATAGGCCACACTGCAAACTTTCAAGGTGGTTTTTTGTAAAAAAAAAAAAGTGTGGCATATGCGGGAAGTTTATAGTAGAGCCATGTACAGGCAAATATCTTGAAAATATCTCTACTTGGAACCTGTAGTGGTGACTAGCTTTTTGACAACCTCTGCAGAAGTCATCAGCAGAGTCAAGTAAGGGGTTCTTTAATTGTCTGTCAAATAATACAAGTCTCTCCAAATTAGTGAAAACTGATTGGTCGGTTTTGTAGTGACATTTAACTGACTGTGAGGCTGAAGAAGCTCATAAACATTGAGATTCACATCAGTTTCTACCAGTTAGCAAAGTTAGATTGTTCTGTTCACTTCACTTATCAAGTTGTTATGAATAGGATTCATGGTGACAAAACTCAATAATGGTGTAACCTGCCTGTACTGATGCAAAATTGGTGTCTCCAATAGGTCTGTCTTATTTTCACTCAAATTTAAATGAAGTTGTTACTTTGTTCTGCAACACACAACTCTAATGTTCATTTTTAAATGGCTACAAAGGTACAATTAACATATGAAGATTTCCAAGAACAATTGACTCGAAGAGCAAAAGTCAGTTTTTTTACCCTATGTAACTCTGCTAGCATATCAAATGTAAACAGCATGGTGGATTTGTGGGAGGCAGAATATGCAATGTTATCATTAAAACGTCTTCATCTAGTGAACCTCATCTGGTGCCAAACAAGGATTCCTAATTTCTTTCATAAACAACAGTAGTTAGTTCTGGAAAAGACAAATTTCATTATTTCTTTCTAGAAAAATATCCCATTTCTTCTATCATGTGTTGCCAAAGCAACCCCACATTTCATGTACATACATACTCAAAACAACTGATTACTAGTTTGAATTAGAACCTTCTATATTGCTTCAACTATTTTTTTTTCCTGATCACCCTATAATATTTACTGAGCTTTATTGAACTACAAATACAAATGCAGCATTGTAATTAGTGTATTGGGTCTGACAAAAAACAAAAATCTCTTTTCTTTAAAATAAATTACACTTTCTCAGATAACAACTTTAGCTTAGAATGTGAATTTCTTTTTAAATAATGATTTAGAAACAGCATTCAGCAAATTGTTTTTAACTTATTGACTAGAATATCAATGAGGAAGGCCCCACAGCAGACGAAATGGTAACTCCTCACTAGTGAGACAAAGAAATGAAAAAATTGCTATTCAAATTTTGAACCACTTTTGTGTACAGCAGACTTTTAAACACCAAGTTTACAACAAATTACTTTGCACCCATGATATTGTCAAAAAAGAAATGGCTGCTGGATGATAAACATGCTGGGGCCATCTTGACAACATTCTCTTTAATTAATAACAGCCCATGGCCAACTCCTGAGAAATACCCTTCAATTTAAGCTTAAATATCATTACAAAATAAAATATTAGCATCCGCACTGTATTTTTATTGCTCCAAAATAAAACACAATGGATGTTTCAAAAACAGCATTGGTTGAGTAAAATGTTTAACCTTGGAAGAGAAATAGTTTGTTTCCCACACAATGTATGATTTGAGCCTGACCCTTAAAATCCCTAAGATCCCTAAATGAGTCGACTGATTCCAGTGCAGAATAAGAGAAAATTATAGGAATTTTGGAAACTGGAATTAAGCATTATGCAAGCACCTGTCAGAACCTTACCATGATCACACTATGAAAATAAAATGAAAGAGCTGCCCCTTTTTCTTATTCAATAAAATGAAAGAGCTGCCCCTTTTTCTTGTTACAACCAAAGACAGGTTCTAAACAAGTAGAATGATGTGAATATTACCAACCTCTCAATGGGGTCTTATACAATATGAAAGTCCAGTCATTTGCTTTTTTTACTCCTCTGTAGTTTGCCCAATTTTAATAATCACATCAAATGTTACTCATTAGTTAGATGTGTCACAACGGATCTCCACTCTACTTTCAAAACTCACGCAATTGCTGCTCAGTTAATGAACACTCTTGCTGGATCATTGTCAGTAATACATGTATTTTAAGTTGTGGTTCAACTTTCTCCTTAGATAAAAGTCTCTAAACCAGTTTGACTTTTACTTATCTTGTTTCAGGCTATGACAATGAAAACAAAACCAAGAAAAAAATACAAATCACGATGGTTTAAAAATTCTTACATCATGGAGTAGTTGGCATCTGGCAAAATTGTAGCTTACTTAATTCATGTTGTTGTCTATTTCTTCAGCATTGGAGGTAAAAATTGTAAATGCAGCCATGTATATGTTGTAGTTCAATTTTATCCGTGGTTCAAATTTTATTTTCCTCGTTTCAAACTCATTATCATACATTAACATGACCGAGAAAAAAGGGAAATAAAATTTTAACCAAGGATAAAATTGAACTACAACATACACATAATCAGTAAAGCTTTCATCATGAAAACTTTCTGGCACCTGAGTGTCTTAAGCTCCAAAAAAAAAAAATCATTTCTGGCAATGCAGTCACAAATCTCCCAAAAACAACATTTTGTTAAGGTACATGTATTTCTATGAAAAATACAAAGCATCATCTGATATAATTAAAATACAAAAATTGTAGTAATAATGATAAAAATAATTTTGTGAGAATAAAAGACCACAGTAATAATAGTTTCAAGGCATGATATCCATTGCTTGAGCAACAAAAGCTGAAGAATTCTCTCTAGATACAAGTGCCAAAGGATCAACATAATTGAGACGAAATCAAAATACACTATACATGTAAATAAATAAATAAATAAATAAATAATTATATAAATTGAAACTCCCCCTTGGGGGCTTTTCAGCCTCAATGTAAACTAACTAAGTGCTTAAAAATCCCCACTAGCAGGAGGCACACTAGTGGACTATTTACAGAGTGTAGCCGAGGAGTGGAACTAGGGGCAACCGAGAACAAATCCAGTAAGTGGCAGGATGGAGGATTTGAACCTGGGACACCAGATTACAAGTCCAGCACCCTAACCACTCGGCCACGTCGTAGTTTTTTAGGTCAAATTAATATCATAGCAATAATCATTTTGATACTTTGCATTTATCTAACTGTGTAAGGACAGCTGATGCATGCCATGGCAGCTAGGATGACATTTTAGCCAGGATGACATTTTAGCCACAGAATTTGTAGTGTAAGTGGTTACTTGGATTGTCATGAAAGGTAGCCACACAATAATTTGCTAGACCTGTTTCTAAAATCTTAAAGGTGATATGTAAGAGGAACCTGGAACATTTTTCATGTTTCCTTGTTTCCTTCTATAAAGAATTGCCATTTTTCCTTACTTGCCCAAGTATAAACTCTTGATATCATAGGACCAGTTGTAGCTAAGAAATTAGGCTGCCAGCTGAAACGTCAAGTGAAGCAAAATGGCAGACAATCGTAAAATTAATGTGTATTACCTCAGAACTACCAGTAGTGCTTTTTCAAGTGATCGCCGGTTAAAAAAAAAGACAGCTTGCAATTACCACTTTTTCAACTTGTGAATTTTGCCAACAGCTAGCATTTAGCAACAACCATACTTGCAAGTGAGAACCCCCAGAGCTAAATGCTAGAGACATTGCTTATTCCAAAGTCAAATACTGTAGTCAGGGATAAAGTAAATCAAGCAAGATCACACAAAATGCCTTTTTCCAATCCCTTTTTTCCCTGGTGACATTTTACTGCTGGCAACCATTTTACGATTTAAGGTTGCCAAAGGGCAACTTTGTTGAAAGCTGAGCTTAGAAACCTGACAATACCTGCTAACACAAGGCCTTGGGCCAATGCATTTCAGATATGGGTTTGAATAATACACTTCACTTTATCCATCATAACATTCCCACTGTAGATATTATTCTCCACTGCGCTGGAACACACTGATTCACTGAGCACAATACAGAGAGTAGGTAACACTCTCAGTGTTCCCCCATTACATTTGTATCTTAAGCATTAAACAGGTCAAGGATATTTCAAATTAGTATATCAATCCTTTTACCTGGTGAATTCTGGAGAATTCCAAGTGATTTTAGGTGGTAATAAGAGGTATTCAAGTTAGTAAATTCTGCAGATTACCAAATGAAAAGGAGAACCTTGACACACCCCCACCCACCCCATCCTTCTGCATTTCAATGCAGAATATTTCCCACAGCTAAATGTTAAACAGCATACTTCTACATAACAACCTAAATTGATAATTTTTGAAAAAAATCAAAGAGAAACTGAAGCATTCTGTGGATGCAATGATTAATGTCAAGCAACATTAATTGCCATCAGTGTTTAATGAGCAGTGATTTTCTTCACCAATATATCCAATATCAATGGCTGCTTGTTGTGGTTGCTATGCTACCCATAAAGAAACAAGACTTACCAAGCTTTTGATACAGACCACAAAAGTGATGATATCAAAAATACTTCTCCAATATGCCCAACATGCATGTACCTTGAACATTTTTTACATTTTTGGTCCATGATCTAAAGAAATTGCAACTGAAAGTGTGGAGAATTAAAAGTTTTCAATGACATCCACATCTTAATCACATTAATTTCTCAACTTCCCTATTGAACAAACTTGTCAAATAGGTCCAAATTTTAGTACGCACACAGCTGTAAGTCAATACAATTCATGCAGACACTATATCAACACTGGTTTGGGAGTTTTTAGTATGAAAGGGAAATTATAAGCACGCATAGTCCAATGCAATTCAATTTCTTTTAGCCTACATTAATAAATTTCAGGAAAACAGACTTAACTTAGTTTCATAGTAAAGTTGTTTGACAAAGGAACACTGCAAACCTATTCTGCCATCAAATGTAAATACTATTAGTTTTTAAAATTCTTAAAGATAATAAGATGTTCTTCATCTCAACTTTGTGGGTGAAATAAAATGCAATCTGGATGTAAGCCTGCTCAAAGAAACTCACAACAATGCCCAATGTTCAGAGGTAAAAACAGTAAATCATGACATTAAGTCACAATTAAAAAAGAATCAGTGGACCAAGAAATGAGATAACAAAGGCACCATTTAATATTTACGTCAACTGTAAAAGTTTAGGATTATCACCTAATTGCAAAATTTCAAAGTTTAAGGTTTCTCACAGAAATCTAAAGCTGAAATCTGAAGAAAACTGAATAGTGAAAAACTTGTTTCAAAACAAAACCCTGAGACAGGTGCCAGCACATTTTGGTTTTATTCATTCACAATACACTACTCCAGACAAAGATGAGCCCAAAGAATAATTAAAGCTGCCAGCCTAACCAATAAATTCCAGATTAGAACACTCAAAATGATGAGAAAGCTACTTAAAACAAACTTCTATCAAATTTTTGTTGAAAATAATGGCAACACATATTTGAAAAAAGGACCTGAGTCACATCAGGCACAGTGAGTCAAAATTTGCTGTTTCTAGTACAACAAAAGAGTTCATTTTCCATGTCTCTGGTGTATAGATTTCTTTTAAGCTGAGTGGAAGAGGGGTGTAAAATTACTACTAAGAAAAATAAATCTAATTTGTTTACCAAATCCATTGTATTTGTGTATGTTTTTGAAATTGAAAACCGAAGTAATTCTCCAATTCTGAAAAGGGATTTCCTGAAGACCTCTTTAACTTGCAACATGCAACATTTGATAAGTTTTTTCCCTCTCCTGTCAGTGACATGCCAATAACTTAATCATGAAAATCATAGAACCAATTTGTCCAGTTTCAAGACATCACCATTAACTCCACAGAAAAGCCAAATTTTACGACTTAAATTCCGCATAACATTAGTTCAGAAATAAACGAAAGAACATAGAGTGCAGTGAGGCTCATTTAAAAGGAAATGAATTAATCCAAACAAACTTTTGGCATCAAGAAACACAGGAATCGCTGAAGCCCTTACTGATTACTTAGGATTGTCTTTGCGAAGACAAAATGTTCACTCAAGGTACACCGTGATTCAGAAACAATGATTCCCATGACATAACACTTAACAAAAAAGATCTAGACTTATAAAATAAAAATGGTAAGGTGCCCACTTGAAGCACATTGTAGCCACAGACATCTGTGTACTGGTGAGGTCACAGTGCTTTTGTACATGCTATATCTGCTTGTCAGGGAAAAGCGAAATTAACTAGAAATCTATATTCGTGATGATTTAGATCGAGAAGTGACCCTCAATGGCAGTCTAACATCTTTCCATTAGAAGAAAAAAAAGAAACTAATACAGTTTTCTGATTCATTGAGAGTAAGTACCAACTGTTCTGTATTTCGCAAGGCGAATCAAGACGACAATTACTGAGCTGAACGGAAAAAGTCAACACTACGAAGAAGAAGCTCTATTTCCTTGTTCTTCATATCCTTGTGCAATTTGCTGTAATAATTACCAGGTTATTACGGCGACAGTGACACTAAAGCCGAGAAGAAAATCTTCGCTTTCTCTTGAGACTTAAAAGCGACAGCTTTCTTCTTAGTTCAAGCTCACGTTCGCCAGCTCGGTAACGTTCTAGGCGAAGAGAACATTTCAATATCTAGCATTCTTGTTCAATTTGCTAGCGCTTCTGCGATAATCCTTAGCATAGCAAACCATTTGATGATCACTTCTGACCGTTCGAAACGATATTGAGATAAGAAAATGGCGGACAAGTGATTAGACAACCTCGCAAACCGCTGCTTAGGATTAAATATTTCATTCGCTTAAAACTTTCTAACTCCTACCGCTATATTTCACTCACCGTGGCGGAATACATTTGGAAGTCTCCCAAATAAACATGATGTGCTTCCCATCTTCTTAGAAATTTGGAACTTAACACTTTGCTGATTAAAGTTCGGCTATGGTTTAAGCGACAAACTTGAATGTCTCCTTCGTGGATCAGTTTGAATTTTGGTCCTGCTCCCGTACTACATCTTTGAGGACGTTGCGGTCGCTGTTGTCCTCCATTCGCTATCGCCACAGCCATGGCTGTGTGGATTGCCAAGGCGTCCGACAGTAAACTCACAGACTGGAAGATATAAAAACACCAAAATATTTCACCTAAAGGAACAGTTGTTAGTCCATGGATCGAGTGTAAACATATCTAGTCCAATTTGCAAGCAGTCGAAGAAACTGGCCTTTTAGCCCGAATGACGTCACACACAACGAATGATTGACGTCGAATAAGAAATTTGCAGTTGTGGCGACTTATTATCTCTAAGCCGAACTCTTCTAACCAGCTTGGACTAAAATTCTCGTTAAAACCAGACCATGAGTAAGCTGAAAAGCTACGCAATAATTTTGCAGGGATTTCGTGCAACAAGAGGGTAGTACAAAAGCTATTCTTATATTCCCTGAACATTCGGAAGGAAAAAGGAAAAAGTGTGATCGCATCGAAGCCTACTTACTCATTTGAATATTTTGTTTCCTTTGACAATTGAAAGACAAAGCCGGATCATACGAATTTGGCAGACGAGCTGCGCGGGCTTTTCATAGCAATAAAAGTGAATTTAAATTGCTTTTGTCTTGCAGCGAAATGACACAAACAGAAGCAGTGAACATGTGTGTTATTAGTCTGTTATTTTGCGATTCGACAGTAGAAAATCGATAAAACGAGATGAGTTTAGGGGAAATGTTGAGAAGAAAACAGTCAATAGCTTACGGTGATGGGGACTTCAAGTAACCTCCGATGTATCAGCACTAAAACTCAACTGCCTTTTCTTCTTTCTTATCTCGATGCGAGAAAGTGGGGAAAAGTCAAGTACCAAATGAGAAAAGCCATGAAAATAAAATAAAAAAAAATTGGAACTACTGAATTTGTGAAAAACGTTTCGACTTTCTCTTCACAAGACAACGTTTCAAGCTTTCTTTGCACAAACAATGATAACTGGAACTGTTAAGCGTTACATAGAATAAAAAAAGTTTCTAAAGAAATCGCAAGCCTTTAACTGCAGCTTACGCGAGTTGTTACCAAACAAGAAATAAAACCCTTCTAAACCAATACTATCGAAATCATAGGAAAGTGAGAGAGGAATCTGACGAGGAGTACAAACAGCTGCCAAGAAGCAGCTCTCATTAAAATGCCTTTCTATCTTTTATAATTTGCATATAAGTTCCTCGCAGAACAGATGTCACCTTTTGATTTTGTTTTCCGATAAATTATTACGCTATAGTTGAATATATTAAATACACAATATTGTTTCCCTTTCAGTTTCTTTGCATTTGCGATCAAATTTGAAAGCTATTGTTGTTGAGATCAGGAAACGCAAGGTTGATGTCATGCAACGTTATTTGAGAGAATGTGCGATTCAGCTTCATGTTCCAGTTGCGAGGTGACAGAACATATAAAAATCTGCAGTCGCGTTAAAAACAATACACATTTCATTTTGATCCTTTTAAACTGATAAATTTCAGTTCGATCGACTACATCGAACTGGCCTGTGATCAACTTGAACGACGACTTTGGATCAAACCGAAACTTTCTTAATCAGGCATCCGCCTCGGAGAAAACATTGGTCTAATATTGCCCAGCACGCATGCCGAATACGCAATTTTCAATCTAATGAAGTACAATTCCAGCCAGGACTTACAGTCAGGATATCTTTCATTTTAAAGATATATCTAACCGTGGAGACCTAACGTTGTCTCTTTGAAAAACAAACACCCAAAAGCTTTGTATATAGATTAACTTTTTGGCTTCAGACGGGGAAATTATACTCGTGCTCTAGCTTGCGGGCTGTCTGGAGGATACAAATCGTAACGATCAAAACGCTTTCGAAGAAAAATTCCAGGAAGTAAATTAACTTCAGTAGAGTAGCATTCAAAGATTTAGACTAAACAGTTATCTTGATATTTTAAGGCATACTTGGTTTTGGCACACAAAAGCGCCTAAACGTGGTGTTTTTAATTATCGCACTTGTGAGCCTGTGAGGTTAATTCTGAAATTAACATCGTGAAAATGAAAAAGAACATGCCCTCGAGGTATGATCATTCTTTAAACGCCCACGACAAGATGTCGCCTATTCTCAAACTCAGGTTATATGCCAATACTTCAGCGACTGATTAACGATCCAAGAAGCAAAGTTTAACAAATGAAGTTGAACACGACTTTTGTCACGCAACAGTTTTTCACAAACGTAGTTTATGTAAGTTGCTGTTTGCGGCGGATCCCTATGTTAAAAATTTGAGTTTTTTCCAGCTCGCCGTGACTCATCTTTGAAGGGAGAGATAGTTAAAAAGCATTGTCATTACAAATCAACTAAACTCGTAACTTATTTTCCCTGTTATTCAAAACTACGAAAAATAATTTTTTTTCACGCCGTTTGAAGTGAGCGCTAGAAATTTAATTGCTCGTACTTCAACGCAAGAACCTGCGGTGCTACCTGGGATACCATTCATAGGCATCAAGCTGACAGTAAATTCGACTAAGAGAGGAACAGACGGTGTTTTGAAAGCGCTGGCCTTCACAGTGCTATGAACAGATGCGCAAGTCAACCGACATATCGACGTGGTTAGCTGTGGGTCAATTCAGGTTGTACAATGCTTTTTGTAACGATTCTGTGAAGCAAAATTAAGGCCCATAAGTCGGATACCAATTCAAAATATCAGAGGCCATTTGTTTGAAACAAGTTTTGCCTTAATTCAGAGTTTAGAAAGTTATAATGACATGGTACTTCGATTTTCCTCTTGTTTATCTTCTATAAAAGCGTGCATCAGTGTTAAATTCTTTTAGGATTTTACTTTAGATAAAGACAAGATGCTGGAATCATTTCGCAGATTTGAAATCGATTTTTTTCTGGTCGGTGCCAGGATATACATTCCGCGAATACACGACGCATTCTTCTGGTTCGGTGTGGCCTCTTTTCGAAGATGGCGTCTGTCATGATTAACCTCCATCTGCGGAATTTAATCGATTCAACACGACATTCTTAGCTCTGAAGACTAAATCTTCGAGATTAAAGGTTAAAGATGGACTTCCCTAAGAATCTCTCTTCACCATCTCTTGCTGGCAAATAATCCAGAACGTTTTCATTACTGAAAAGTCTACGGCGGACAGAAACTGTCAATTTCACAGGCAGTGGTAGTAACTTATTAGTAAATTTCGATAAATTTGCCGGTGGGCAACATACAGGCCGGTGGGCAACATACAGGCCGGTGGGCAACATACAGGCCGGTGGGCAACATACAGACCGGTGGGCAACATACAGGCCGGTGGGCAGCATACAGGCCGGTGGGCAACATACAGGCCGGTGGGCAACATACAGGCCGGTGGGCAACATACAGGCCGGTGAGTGGTCAAAATGTATCACCACTCATCATCTTAGGTAAATTGAGTGGTTCAAAAAATTGAATCATGTGTCGATTAATGATGTACTTACCGATGAGAAAAAATTAATGATCGCACATAAGTGACCAAAAGAGGATCGAATTAATTCAATGGCAATTATCAAAAGCATAGCAGGCGATCAAATAGGGCTTCTTAAGCCCAACAAAATGAAGAGTTCTTATCGATGGGTACTATAGAAAAAAAAGCTGAATTTCAGGGGACGAACACTGTATGAGAGAAATATAACAGTGCTAATAATGCTATTATCGGCAATAATTCGGGAGGCTGAAACGGCGAATTAGCAAAGTACTAAAATAAATGAAAAGACATTTGTCTTGGGTAAGTTCTCATTGGTCAAAATTACTGCCTCTCTGCCAACAATTAGCTTTGAACTCAACCTTATTACTTTTCTTTATTCCTCCACTCGTCTAGACGGCGTTCTAACTCACGTTATCTTTATTCCCAATGAGTGGCTTCTTAAGACACAACTGTATTTCAATTAGTTCTGCAAGAAAAGCATTCCATGGTGGAGTTCAGTGTAACTACTGCATTGTATTAGAACTTAATTTATGGGTATCAAATTTTTCGCACCTTGCATAAAGTCCTTGCTAAGCCATTATAAGTTCCTACAGAAAAAGATTCCCACGAGAAAGAAAGAGAAATAGATTAAAAAAAAAAAAAAAACAGTTATAACCACAAAACAAAAGAAAGCCGCAGACACCAATGGAGTGGGCAGGGGAAGTAAATGCTTTCACTCTGATTTCGTTGACGTGTCAATCCTTTTGAGAACTACGGTACTGTCTTCGTACATTTCGGTGGAATTTCTGTGATATAGATAGTTTATCGGAGTTCATTAGCTATTAATGGTTCCAAAAATTACCTTCTTTTCCTTATGTTTTCTGTGTGATCAAAAAATCGCAAAAATTTATTCTCGAGGAAACTTTTGGTCATCTTGAAGAACAAGAATTTAATCCCGCATACACAAAAGATCCACCATCCGCTTAATAAAACTTCATGGATATTCTTATCCTACAAGGTACTCTGGAAATTTCATTCTTGCGTTCTGTCGCGCTTTTTGTCCAAAGGAGGTGCGGTATTCCATTTAAAAGCCAATATGTTTAAGAGATCAATTTTTAGTCACGTCTTATTATTAAAATCCGAGAATGAAAATATTGGAAATGCGGGAGCACTTTTAAATAAAATATATCAAAAATCACTTGACTTGTCAGACACGAGTCATGTGGCCCACTAAAACCAAAACCTAAATTGTTAGAATGGCCCTTAGTCTAAAATTCTTGTCACCTTAATGACATCAAATAAACTATTTACATTTCAATCATCATCCTTTCATTCAGTTCGCGTGTATGTTACACAAAATTTTATGATCAGTAAAAGAACGTTGGAAATTTTTATCTTTTTTTGTTTTGTTTCGTTGTGTTTTTGTTTTGTTTTGTTTTTTTTTCTTTTGTAGAGTGTGTTTTTTTGTAGAGTATATCGAGAACTTTTGACATATATTTGTGCACCATCTTTTATATCGTCTTTCAATGAAGATCCCACATGGTGCTTTTAGCTTCATCTCTTTTAAGGAAACCCGCCAATTCTTTTCCAGCTGTCTGATTATAATCCTGTCAATTGCGTTCTGGGATCCAATCAGATGTGGGCATATTTTATTAGGTATTGCCAAACTTAAATTACTTAAAAGGTTGAACTCTCTTGGTTTTATAGAAAGCCTACATTTGATCAGTTACACTTCAAATTTAAACAGGGAACGAATATGTAGTAGTTTCATGAAGATCGACCACTTTCAGCCGTGATTCATCACCGGAGTTTTGTTTACTTTTGGATGACAATTTGTAGTGACGAGAGAGTAGGAGAGTGTGAAACGTTGGAGCGAGAATTGAAGGGGCTGTGTCGAGGCTGCGGATGCGATAAAAACTAGTCTCGTTCCAATCTCTTCTCACTTGAAGCCCTCGCCGGTCCCGAAATTTAAACGAAAAACAATTGTCCTTTCAATCAGATAAACGATCCAAGGAAGTTAAACTTTCGAAATATTTCAGCGAGTCAGCGATCGTCTGCTGAAAGGTCCAGGATCTATCCCTTCAGTTAACTGCACGTTATCTTTCTTGATTAACTACAACGACGAGGCTCACACTACTGTATTAGTTTACAATTACCATATTTGGCTCCGTCCGTGTTTGTTATGAAGTGAATATTTGGTAATTAAAGAAGACACTTCCTCTTGGCTCAAAAAACGTGCTAGTAAGTAAGAGTCACTTTCTCCGAGTATTGTACAAGCAAGAGAGTACCGTGTCTACTTCAGGCAAGTGCTCGGCCTTTCGAGGCAGGTAAGAAAACTCAGTGTAATTAGCCACCCATCAAAAAACTGAATTATCAGAATTATTCGTCAGCATTGACGAAAAAACCGGCAAAAAATAAAGCTGGCAGAGTATTCATAGGCCACGCTTACACCCAGTGGTGTAAAGTAAGAAACGCGCATAAGCCTGATTTCCGCTGTAGCGTAAATATCGTAAATTTATCATCGAGGAGAAAGAAAAAGATTGTATTCCCAGTCTTCGAGTGAGCGTAAGGCTTTGCAGAATAAACCATGGTACTCAGTAGTGCGTAGGTTACGGAATTTACAATTTTGAAAGGCCAAGTGATAGTTGAGTAGCCTTGATTCTCAAGTCGCCGACGTCAGACGTCGAGAGTTAGCCTGCGCTAATTTATCTTCCAAGTTAGCGCTTTTGACATTAGTGATTGGAGCATTTTTGCAGGTCGCTGGTCGTAGATGAACCCAGTACCGGGATGGCTAAGCTCGCTCACGAGTTCGCTGTAGTTAAGTTCACAGAACATCGGACCATTGGCATTAGAATTTCTCCCATAAAGAACTGCACTCGCAAATTCTTCGGGAAAAAAAATCGCCGGAAAGTATGTTCAGTTTATCAAACACAAAGCAAAGTTAAAATGGAGAAGAAGTAAGTGAAAATTGAGAGTACCTTTAGCACTATTCCGTAACAAGCTTGAGCAATTCAACTCCAAAGCCAAATGGCCTTCATTGACCTGGAAAATATGTTATGAAAGCTAATAGCTGACGATAAAGCTAAACTTTCCAACACAAAAATGCTTAATTGGTTTGAAGATTACTTGACTTAACTTCAATTGACCGAAACATGTGGCATTGCGCAATCATCATGGCCTGCACTCCCATAGACAATAACTGTGTCTCGGCGATAGAAAACAACTTCCAAGAATCTCTGAAGTTATTAAAAACTAGTGCCACATGCCGTAAAAGAGAAAGAACCTTTAAACTAATCAAGTAGCTTACCACTTGCTTGGAGACGAATCACGGCTGCAGTTTTAAAATCTTTACATAACAATGTTGCTCAAGTTTCTGTAATACTTTCAGCGAGTTTTGTTCAGAAAGCCGTCTTTGTTTCAGGCACTGTACAAGTTGTGTTTAATGATCTAAAAGAAGACTGACAATTCCGATCACGCCGCGCACTGGGAGTTCTTATTTAGGCAAGAATTCACGTATTCGTTTGGCTTCACTCCAATGTTTCTTGACCTCTTCCGGTCTTTTGCGGTGAAAGAGCCTGATTTTTTTTAAATCATGCCTCGCCGGAGATTATTCAAGCAAGCATGATTGCAGTTTATTGATAATTATACGGAGGATCCATTAGAGATGATTGATGAGGTCGTCTTTTAACGATAATTTTAAGCTTGAATTGGAATTAGTACAACGGGAAAATATTGGAAAAGGGAATTTTGGAAAAAGGAATGAAGGAATGGAGTGGTAGGTGGGTGTAAACTTACGTTATTTTTTACTTCGATAAACAGGAAATGCGTAGTTTGATGACCAAGTAAGCAAAAATTATTTACCCTGACTGCGGGTCAAAAATAGAAAACCAGGAACACGAGAATGATCGAGTTTCTGTTTCATTTGAAAAGACCCAAAAAGTCACGTACATCGACGTGCTCTCCTAGTTGCATTTGTTTAAGAATGTAAACCTCTTGGGCTACAAAAGCAATTTGTGTACTTATTATTAACCATAGATACTTGATTGTGGCAATTTTTTACAAAAGGACAAAAGCTCGTATTCCTGGTTTGTCGACCGCGACGATACCCTTTCAAGATCAGCGAGCCAGAAACGATGTTGGCTCCATGATAGAGGATTCCCGACGTTCTCGAAAAAGAAACTTATAAAGCACACATTACGAAAGTATAAATTGCAGCTGAAAAAAAAAAAAACATAACTACGCTCAAACACGAAAAGAAATGTCATTGGATTTTGCCACAGGACTCCTATTTTAACCTTGGCAAATCAATATGTAACGAGTACTCGATCTAACCTAGACCACGCACCACTCAAGTTGTTTAAACAATATTAAAAGAGCGCTCAAATAACCCTCTAGGCTGACAATCATAACACTGAGAGGCGGAAACACCGGTACCCAGCAAACTCGACAACATAATCATTCCTGGATAGCGAATCGTCAGTTTCACGACAGTCAGTTCTAAAAACCGTAAGCTATTGTAAATTCATATAACCATCAATTTAGCGATTGATCTGAATTGGCAGAGTAAGATACACTAACAAATTATCCGACAGAAACTGAAAACTATCAACCTACCGAGGCAAACCCAGGTGCATCGTCAGCCAGACAGGAAAAATTTTTGCGTCACATAGTCTGAACTGAGGACGACAATTTAGGCAATCTTTGAATCTTGCATAATATTTCTAAACATTGACTATAACCTTTTTTATAATTATCAGCAGCAACGCTTAGAAAAACCAGACAAATAAAGAATTGCTTTCAATAGTGACATTCATCATACAAAATAACGGTTGTGGTGTACTCAGGAGATAACAGTTTTCATTCAAAGTAGAATTAAATTAGACATAATCGTCGTGCAGGATGTTCGGAAATAAGACCGCTGGAGAAGATGAGTGAAATCATTCGAACAAAACGCATTATTTGAGCATTTACCAAATCGTCCTCGCTTGGTTAAGGTAATACTGAACTACAATCTTCCTCATCGATATGAATATCAATTCGAGATGACCCCGTGTAAATTTTTAGCTCGATGTGCTTCGGTTGATTTAATTTATTTCCTAGCCGTTGTTGCTCGATCTACTTTTATGTAAGATTGCGTAAGAAGAACAAAAGCCTGTTTGGATAATGGTAAACCACTAAAGCTTTTCAGGCGCTCGCACGAAACGAGGTTATGCTTTTCTTGAATCAGTTCTGGACATGAATGTAACGAACATGTCGACTGAGAAAAATTGTCGAACCCTTTTGCAAGTTTTCGTTCGAGCGACGTGATTGTGGATGGTTTTCTAACTAAATACACCTAGAACTAGACCATGACTCACCACTTTTACTTCGCAGTCACTTCGATATTTAGCTCACTTATACCGTAGAATGAACCAGTGGAGAGACATATTTTACATCAATAAATTTACCACCGGCCACACTCCTTTCAGAATTTTCTACTCGAAAAACGAACATCTGTAGACATGCGCGTGACATGATAGCAACTTCCTTGTTTTGCTTTGGCCATCATGATCATCAAGTTATTCTTGACGTCACATTAGCTCTTCCGTTGAGAAATGGCCACCGCAACAACTTAATTCTTGAAGATATATGAAATTCCCAGTGTGCGTTTCGTGAAGAAATTGGAAAAAAAAAACTACGAAAACGCTCCTTGAGGAAGGCTAAGGATTTCAGCAGATCAAATTTAATTTTTAAAGTCTTAAAGCAACCTCAATAAAAAGCATATTTACGGATGAGTGCTGTTCTATATTTTGCGTGCAGCCAGGTCATTCAAATATAATCTCGTGGTGACTTTTCACTTACCCAGCGTGCGTAGATCTGAATTTAATGCTATTAATTTTGTCATAAGGTATTGCATGACGAAATCAGCAAATTATACTAATAATATGTTACACGAAGTGCGCTTTTAATGTAGTGAAAGTAAGGCCGTTGGAAAACGAAAATACGTAATATTGTATCACGGAAGCTATCATGTCAGAATGGCAAATCGATTCATATACCGAGTGCCTCTATTTTAAGACCTGTTTTGTAGTCGTTTGGCGGTCACTTCCGATCTCTGAGCTACCACCCAGAGAGCCTACCTTTTAACCAAACAAGTGAAGTGTGAGCCACGAGGGAGTTGCGCGAGGGCATGGGGCGAAAGAGGAGAAAAGAATACCGGAGCGGGACGGGCGCTAATGGGACGACAGTAGTAAAAACGTCAGAGATGTCCAAGGAGATCAAATTTGGCCGAAGGAGAGAAAAGGAAAACTTGAGACTTCTCGAACAGGAAATTTATTAGATTTCGGGTATCCCGTTGATCGCCGTTGTATCTTTTCTTTTTTTTAATTTTTATCGAAAACGTCCAAAGGCTTCAAAAGTTTGTGACCTGTGTAGTTGTTTTTACGTCTTGTAGGACATCGTGGCCCTGACGACCTGAAATCACGCAATCTTGTCATTTGAACTTTCGTACATGCATATGAACTGAGTTGGTATTATAAACTGGCTACCGTTATCAGATCAGTTTTGTTTCGAGCGTTAACCATTAGACAGAGCGATTAACGAAGGGCTAACGCTCAGAAACCCTTTACGGCGGCTAATTTACATTAATAACTCGGTTGATAAAACCAAATTATCTTGCCTTTCATTTGAGTGCGGTTAAACAAAAACCAAAATGAACACAATGGCCAGTAAAAAGAAAAGAAATTACCTTCAAGATCCATCGAGAGCTCAAAGTAAAATCAACCAAACTGCCTAAAGCGCAGGAACTTGACGCGGAAAACCAAGTCGTTTTTAGTTTTGCATCTGATCGGTTGCATGAGAAAAAGGCGTATACGTATGATGCACGATCCTAGCAGTAGAGAGCGCTATTTATGCAATAGCGAAAATCAGACCTGAAAAAAATCAGGCCTGTACGGGATTCGAACCACTGACCTCTGCGATACTAGTGCAGCGCTCTACCAATTGAGCTAACAAGCCAACTGGGAGCAGGCCGTTAAGTTGATTCGTAATAAACCCGTGATGATAAATCAGATACTAACAAGCCAATTGAGCTAACAAGGCTTGTTAGCTCAATTGGTAGAGCGCTGCACTAGTATCGCAGAGGTCAGTGGTTCGAATCCCGTACAGGCCTGATTTTTTTCAGGTCTGATTTTCGCTATTGCATAAATAGCGCTCTCTACTGC